GATCCTGCCAGTACTCATATGCTTGCCGCAAAGATTAAGCCATGCATGTCTAAGTACATGCCGTATTCAGTCGAAACCATGAATGGTTTATTAAACCAGTTATGGTTCCTTGGATTGTACCTTACAACTTGGATAAGTGTGGCATTTCTAGAACTAATTCCTACGAAAAACATTTTGAATCTTAATACATGCATACCTGCCAACCTCTAAAGATAAAAATTCAGAAGATTTCTCCCCCAAATTCAGAAGAACACGAAGAATTAATATCATGCTTTGATATTAAAAAAATAACAATTTATACAAATAGAAAAAAGAAAATTGTACTTACATTAGTAAATATCAATTAAGTAGTAACTAAAAAATTTTATTAGGAAACATAAAACAAGAACTTAATGTTACACAAAAAAATTATTGGCTTTAGCCAATTAGTGCATTTTTTGGCTTTAGCCAAAAAATTCTTTGGAAAATTTCCTGCCATAACATTTAGCAATTAAAATGCTTTCTAGAGTTTTTAGTGAAATTGAAGAACGAAACATAGTTTTGTTTTTCTTCACAACACTGAAGACTCTCTCGCACTCAGCATTACTGTGTGGAATTACGAGAATAGCACATAAAACTCTTGCTAGTCTATCATATTTTGGTGTTCCATCAGCTCTTTTTATTCTTTTTAAGGTACCAACAAGGACATTAAGTCTATCTTCTACAGAACTGGCAAAGTCTTCAAACTGTGCAGCAGAAAATTGGTTCTGTAGTTCATCTAAAGCATCATTATAGCATTCATTTTCTTTAATTGTTAACAAAAATGGAAATTTATCAATAAAAAAAACGAATCTTTTCAAAAGATGAATTTTCAATTTGTTTCAAATTTGCCACTTCAGCATTTAAAAGAACTTCATTTTGCCAAAGGAAACTTCCTTACAATGTAATCACATGCTGAGGAAAAGTACTGTCTAACACATTGAAAAAATTATTTTTTCTCATGATCTCTCTGCCAAAATGACAAAAATCACTCTGCCAAAATGACATCGGCATCCGAATTCGTAGCTGAATTTGAAAAAAAAAATCATCCACTTTCTTTGACGTTATCGAAGCCGAAGCATTAACTTCATGCTTTTTAGACTTACATGCTTCACAATGTCGCTTCTTCCACCATGACTTATTATGAAGTCACACACGCACACATTGCAAAATGCATAGTTATTTCCTTTGAAGGATTCTTTAATTGTTGGAAATTCGGCTTTGTAGGCATGCCGAAAATATCGAGAATACGTTTTTTTTTTTAACTCATTTCCTAACAACGACGTATTAAGAAAATTCGTAGCACGTGCAAACAAAAACAACACACACACACACACACACACACACAAAAAAAAAAAAAAAAAAAAAAACAGAATGTGACAATCCACGCTTGCTGAGTCCGAGCCAAAGAATATGTATTGTTAAGAAGGAAAGCTTCGCAGCAGCAGGTGTGGCTCCCTCCGAACGAAAAGGGACACAACTGCGCATGCGTGAAATATCTATCACCTAAAAGCGCCAAAGCTCGAAGCTGATGTCGAAGTTCGAACAGGTTCGATGGTCACGTTTATCAAGAGCTTAAAGCTGTGTGACTTCATTTCCCCCCCCTGCATATTGACAGATATAAAATCAGAAATCAAACTGCGATATGGATAATACAACTTCAACTAGTAAAGCAAAAAAGCATGAAAATTCGAGTTTAAATTATCGCGAAAAGTCAAAGAACGATTCATCTTAACCAGTGTTCCTCAGTTTCCTGTACACGTGGCGGAGGTGAAAAATCTCGGCCAGGTACATCACAAAGGGGGAAATTCTCACCAACAGGTTCCGTCGCCCAATTCTTTGGCGAATCGTCCCTTTTCTTTCTAGCAGCATAGAAGACAAACTGGTTTACATTACGTCTATGGAACCTTTCCTTCTTTACATAGACTTTCTTTGTCCGAGCTGAGTAATTCCCTTGCTGCTGAAGCGAACGCGAAAAAAATAATCTGGCACCCACAAAGAAAAGAGTGGGAGAAACAAGTTCAGCGCATTGGATTGGCTGGTTAAGCGGCGAGCTGGGAGAAACCGCAGGTTACTGGATTCGAAGTAGTCGGTAAAACATGATGCAATCGGCAAAAAATTCTAAAATTTCGACAAAAATCACTAAAAACACTTGAAAAAGGAAAAATGGATTACGATCGTAAAATCGTAAAGAAAACGCATTTTCATAAAAATTACGAAAAATTCGTAAAAGTTGGCAGGTATGTACATGTCACTCACTTGATAGTTAACATTTTATGATAATACTACTAAACTTGTTATAAATAATTGGACAATATAATTTATAACAGATAATGAACTTTTATACATTTTCACCTAGCTCAGTTTCTTCTCCTTTTTTAAAACCTCTTAGAGATTTACTAAGAGATTTAAAAATGGATGGTGATGGTAATAATGGCTGTATTCAATATATAATATAAATAATCTGAATATTAATCAATTTTAAGGTATATTTGAAAGATTTTTAATATATTGTAACAAATTCTAAATGTAAATGAAACATATGCACAACAAGTATCTGTTTATCAGCAAGCATTGTTCCCTCAAGAGACAGATAGACAGCACACTTCATTTTTGCTGGTCAATGGTTACAGACAGACTGCATGAGAGTGATTGTTAGTGGTTACAACAGATCAACTCTGACAATGATCTTAAACTTCATCAGCTAAATACCCAAAACTGTCAGAGTCAATTCTACACTGTGCTCAGCTTTGTAGCAAATTTTGCTGCCCATAGTAGCTACACAGAATATTGATCTCAGCTTGCTCTGTGAGCTTGAATTATCTGACATTTTAACCACTTTCCTCCTAGTGCAATAAAGCCTGACTATCTGGCAGTCAACTAACCAGAATACTTTTAGAATAAAAAAATTAAAAAAATTCTGCCTGGAAAAATTTAATAAATGAGAGATTTGTAATGCCATACAGATAAACAATGGCAACGTAGCTTGAAAAATTATAAGTGATTTAATTTTTTTTATATGCTATGCCCATAATCCATATCTCTGTTAACTAACTAAAGAAACATCCGCTTATTTAAATTTCTGCTGAAATGATTGATGACATTTCAGCCAACTTTCATATTCCATATTTCATAATCAGATCAAATGTTTTACGTTTAACCCTCTTAGCATTACAGGTTTTACCTCAGAATTTCAAAGTTCCTCAAAATGTCCTGAATAAATCATATTTTCTTGACTACAGTTAAAAAACAATGCTCTCACTTTGTACCTTGATTCCTTTTCTTCCAATATACATCCAACCCAAAATCGGATACATTAAAAGCTGGAAGAAATTTTTATGTGTAATGAATACAAAAGCCGTCTTTCTATATGGAATTTTCTGTCCATAACGCTAAGGCCTAAGAAATATATCAGATTTTATGCCTGAAATGCACCTTAAAAAATTAAATAATTAAATAAATAAAATAATAAAAAAACTTGAATAATTTTAAAAGTACGCTTTTGATATTCAAAATTGGTAACACATGACTATTTTATAATTTTAGATTTAGAGGAAACTTTCTCCACTGATATGTTTTTCTAACCTGAATTTCTGTTTTTAATACACTCAACTATCCGGAATTTTCATGTATTCAGCATTTCTTCAGCTTTCCTACTTTTTTTTTGGATTTTTTTTTTTTTTTAGTTTTTTTTTTTTGTTTTTTTAGTTTTTTTTTTCAGTTTGTTTTTTTTGTTTTTTTTTGTTTTTTTTCTTTTTTAGGATTTTTGCTTTTTTTTTTTTTTTGATTTTTTTTTTTTTTTTTTTTTTTTTTTTTTTTTTCCGTATTGTTTTATTTTTTTTTTTTCTTTTTTTTTTATTTTTTATGAGAAGGTTTTGATGTTTATGGGGTTACGGTTATTTTTAGTTCTTTTTTTTTTGAGATATAAATTAACATGGTTTATTAGTCCTTAGGTGTTACTTGAAAAACAGCAACAAGTTTTTGATATACAATTGAATCATGGCTTTGCTAACTTGAAAAACAGCAACAAGTCTACTTTAGACAAGAGCAGTAAACTGCATGGCAAAGAAAACTTCAGATTTTTATAAAATTTACATCATCATTGTGATATATTTTAAGTTTTTCCCTCACTTATTACATAATGAACTTTATTGTAAAATGCTTTTTAGTTTTATATCAAGAGTATTAAAAAAAAAAAAAAAAAAAAAGTTCAAATATCTTATTATTGTGTATTCTTTAAAATTAGACCATAATACCATAATAAAGTTTTTGGAAGAAGCATGAGAAGAACTTACTACTTTATGTTATCTGATGACATGAAAACTAAAAACAAATTTCAAGGGCTTCTGCTTGAAGAAATATTAACCCCTTAATGCTTACAAATATGTGATACTGGAACACTGATAATTGATAGATTTGTTTATGGTTATACAGATTTATATGTGATTTGGGTTCTTTTACAGTGTGTGCTATTAAAATATATATGAACATGTGCTACTACAGCATCTATTAAATACTTTTTTGTAAATTTGGTGTGAACTTTATCCCCATAAAAATTAAACTTACGCACTCATTTTCAAATCAGGAAATACTCAAGTTTTATTTATCTTAAATAAAAAATTGTTATTTTGGACCATTTTTCTGGGAGAAAAGAATGAGCATCTAGATGTAAAGAGTATTTGAGTTGACAACCTACAATAAAGTTAAATTTTAAAAAGCTGGCTGAGAGAAATTTATTATCTTTGATCTAAAGTTTTAATCAAAAATAGAAAATGCCTTTCCAATGTGTATCCATTTCCAATACTTATGAACAATACTGAATCCAGCAAAAATAATTATCAATAACATTTTACTGAGAGAAAACACTGTAACCACATCATAACACAAAATGCTTAAAAAAAAGTAAAAAAATTTAATGAAAAAAATTATATAAAGTTCAAATATTTTTATATATTATTTGATTAGAATTAATTTTTACTTACAAAGGTTGCCAAGAAGATTTTTCTTTTCTCCTAACTTTCCTGGCTTCTCTTTGTTTCTCTTCTAATCTGTTTTTTTCAAATGCAGCCCCATCTAGAACAAAAAAAATAATGTATATATAAAGAAATCAGTTAAAAATGGGTAAAATGGTAATCTATGATAACATTCGTAAGATAATTACAAAATTTATTAATTTACTACTGAAAATTCAGATGCTCATTTGTCTCAAGATGACTAACTATCACCTAGACTTTGACTAAATTGCCATTATAAGTTCAGCATCAGAAAAGCAATTGATATAAAAGAAAAACAATGTTCATTCAGTTGTGTCTTTCTTTATAATAATTAGAATTACAACTTTAGTTTTCATGTTTTGAACTTTTTCTTTAGGTTATTGTATTTATCATATATATAACTTTAAAAAAAAATCTTTTCATAAAAAGGGAGGTCAGGCTTTTCTTTACACATTAGCTATGGGTTTTTTAAATGCAAAATTAAAATAAGGAAGAGAATTGAAAAAACAACAGTTTTGATATTGTGGCTGGGAGGGTTTTGTTCTTTACATGGCCTTTTAAAGCAAAAATTTCATTTAGTAAAATAGTCATTGTGCTTCATTACAGTCCTCAGCAACCTCAGCCAGCAGGTCACAGAGTCACCCATTTCATAATTTCAAATGACCACTCAATTCCAAAAATAAAGTAAAACATAAAAATAAACCAATAATAAATAACAGAAAGAATTTGGTTTAATTACAAAGTTGCAGTAACAAACATGAATTTTTATTAACAAAAATTCAAGAAGAAATTGATTAAGTTTAGCAACACCAATCCATAATCCATTATTAAAAAAAAAAGGCTTTGCCATTTTGCATGCATTCGGTTCAACATATAAATATGAGCAAACATTTCCCACTTTAAGTAAGAATAGAAGCAGCTTTACTACTGAAAATTCAGATGCTCATTTGTCTCAAGATGACTAACTATCACCTAGACTTGACTAAATTGCCATTATAAGTTCAGCATCAGAAAAGCAATTGATATCAAAGAGAAACAATGTTCATTCAGTTGTGTCTGTTTTTATAATAATTATAATTACAATTTTAGTTTTTATGTTTAAAGCATATTATAATTATTTTCTCAATAAAATTTATCTTATTATTCACCTAGAAAGAACCATTGTAAAATGAAAACACTGCTGACCCAAAATGTCTTCTTAATACAGACATTTTGGATGATTTTGATCCACAGTCAAAAAGGGTTATTGCTGCCTGCTTCATTAAATAACATACATTTTATACGCAAATTCATAGATATAATGAAATTAATGTTTTCATGAGTTCAACAGCGAATATAATAACAAGTGCTGTTTTATTCAATAAAAACCAATAACATTCAAAAGCAACTTGAGTTTTGCAGTTGTTCTTAAAATTGGTAGGGGTGGGAAGTGGGTGAATTTTGATGGAAAATAAATACTGCAAAGAGATCTAAAGTTGTTAGTTTGTTTCCGTGATATCTAAATAAATGTGCAAAATATTTTACCAATAGGATATTTTGCTCTTGTGTTATTTGGTATATGGAATATTTTTAACTTACTAAAGCACAATGAACATTTTAATAATTGATACTTTTCCTCTACAGAGATCATCAAGTAAGATTTTATATTTACATGATGCTCAAAATATTATATAGCTGTTTTAGACACACATATATAAGATTCCCCTAAAAAAAATTCAAATTCCTCATTTATTCCTACAAAAAGCAATTAAGACTAGCAGTATGGTACAAATATATGATGTAAGTATGCAGACAGCGACTGTGCCAAAATGAAATTTAAAATTATCAAAAATTTGATTTCAAACTAAAACTGGTTTTACCAAAGTATTTTCTACACTTTTCAAAGAAGAAAGAAACAAGGTCCTTCTTCTTTAAATTTTGCTCCTTAAATAAAGGCTTTTACAATATTAATGTCAATTTAAGATTGACCTAAATTTATTCAAATTTAATAAAAATATGTAAACTCATTATTTACAGGATGTTAATTAAAACATCTTTAACCACTTGCGCTAAAAAGACGTGCCACGCACGTCGAGATGCTTTTGTCTCAAACCGCATGCAAAAATGAAAATAATGTGGTGCACACATCGCCAAACAGCGAGTTTGTTTATTTCTCGAGTTAATCCTCTCGATTGCACTCGCAGACGTGGAGCATCGTAAATGAGACACTTAACCGCTTGTTATATTGTAGCTCACGGCACCGCAACATGGTTTAGTCATAGCGCAAGTGGTTAAATATAAAACATCTTCAAACATTTAGATATTTATGCTAAAATTGTATTTAATAATATACCAATAACAAGAAATTCCCTCTAAATAAATATTTAAATTATGACAAATGAACAGATATTAAGGGGAAAAAAAAAAAAGACACAAACTACATACATAAAATGAAGCAAATATACTCAGGTATTTCAATGAAGTCCTATTCCTAGTTTTACATAAAATCCTTTTGCAGTACCTAATTAGTATGTAAATTATTTCATCAATATTTGTTACCTATATCTCCCTCTTCCAATTTTCGAATATCAGGCCTAAGTCTTGAGTCAGTAGGAGGTAATTCGTCTTTTAATTCTTCAGCTAATTCATTCAGTGACATGGCAAACAAAGTAAAATTGTAGTACTGAAACAAAGAAATTTAGTATTGTGGAGAACAATAACATGCTTACATTTTATAATTTTATTTTAAGAAATAAATACAAGAAAATCATTTTATTTAAAACATGGCCCACCTCAGAGGAATAATCAGGACGAGGATCAACTTCCCATAGTAAATATGACGAATCATTTGAGTCTATGCCTTCAATTTTCTCCCCAGTGTCAAAATTTACCTACAGAAAAAGTCAATCTGCACTTACAGTTTCAAAGTGGAAGGGGGGGAAATAGATAATAAAAAATTGCATGTGCACCCCACCATAATTATCATTTTTTATATCAGCTGACATAGGATATAATATACGTCTTAAAAGTGAAACAAGGTTTTGATTATCTTAAATACATATAATATGCTATATTTTGTAATTGTTTAATATTCTGAATATCCTAAAAACTGTTAATAAACAAACAGTTCACACAGCACAATGGAATGAATTTTTTTCCCTGGAGTACATGAAATTTACACATTACTTTTGAGTACATGTTTCATACTCACCGAATTTAAAGAAAGACTTTTATTCCTCAGAGCTTTCAGATGAGGCAACCAATCTGACTTCTCTTTTGCAACTAAGTGACTATCACTTCCACTTGGTTTCTGATCTCTCAATTTGACATATTCTTCATAATATTCAGGACTAGAGGATATTATAAAACTGCACCATTTCCCATGAATAAAACGGCGCTTTATTTTGCTATGAATATAAATAAAAATGCAATGAAATAGAACTAATATTTTAAGGCGGAAATAAAATCTTACGATATTTAAACAGTTCCCATTGTAGATAGATATTTCAAAAGATTAGTGATAGAATTAGTTTCAAAAGATTCCGATTCCGCTTCAAAAGATTGGTAGTAGAAGACTGTAGACAGATATTACAAAAGATTATCTTTAACTACAATTATTCTTGGGTAAAACAATAAATTTAAAATAACATTGAAAAATATTTTCTAAACAGTAATTACTAAAAAAATCATGAATTTTTGTTTATAATATTTATTCTTAAAAATATGTAACCTTACTTCTGCCTTATTTAACACACAAATATTTTTGTCACAAATATTTTAATATGTAGACCCTTTTGAAATTTTGAGAACTCATTACTTTTTCCTTTAACATTATATAACAATTTTTTTTTCCAAAATGCTATTATTTAAACAAACATCAAAATTGTTTTTATTATTAATTTCTTTTTCTAAGCATTTTTATATATTATATTATAATCTTTTAATATATTATGATTTAATTTTTCATCATAAGCCAAAATCAAATCTACATAAACTGTTCCATGGTTAAGAGCTTTGAACGCTGGTAATTTTTCCTAATAGAATGACATTTTGACAATACAAAATATGTCATGCAAGTGTTTCAATATTTTCCCTCATGCATAACAGGGTACAAGCCAAGAGTTTCAAAGATCTGCCAAGACAACAGAGTACTTTTTGCTGAAGAATTTATGTATCTATACACCTTCACAAATTTCTTTGATTCTCTTTTATTGTTTACTGAAGTTTTCCTCTTAAATATAGAAACACTGCACATAAAAAAAGCACTTTAAATTTATTCACTTTCATAGCTCTTTCATTCAAAGAGCTTGCACATTTTATCATTAAACAATTCTGAAAATTTCAGCATCATCTTAATATGAAAAAGAAAATTTACTGCTTAAAATAGAATTTAAAAAATCCTTTTACAATATCTTCTATGGTTGAAATTTCCATGTTTTTAAAACATATACTAGCCTAAGTATGGAATAATATTGATCAGTGCTAAATGAGCATGCTAACATCTGTCACCCCAATTATTTCCAAAATTCTAAATGCATTGCAAGTACACATTTGTCAATCACGTGAAACTTTTCAATAGCTGTATTGTATAAAAGGAAGAAAAAATACATGCATCAACTTTCTCCCAAGTTAAAAAAATTGATGGTGGTGACTGAAACAGTTCAGCAGCATTAAAACATTTATCTGGAAATAAATATGCTACATGCTATGAATAGCATCACTCCAGTCACTAATCACATAAACATCATTCCAGTTACTAATCACAAAGACTCAAGGATTTACCTCATGAAATGACTTCATTTCATTAAATTTTGCTTTGTTTTGAGATATGTTACACTATCAGTTTTTTAAAGAGTTATCAAGTTTAACATTTAATAGATATCTATTACTTTAGATTTTCTGAGCTAGCCTTTATTATAAGATGCTAAAATGTGTGGTGCCTAAAAGAGGGATGGCTTTGTAAATACTGGTGGAAATTAATAAGGGATAAAGTACAGGTATAAATTATTAAGAGATAATAAATATGGCCCATTTGAAAAACCCAAAGAAAACCAGTGAGGTCATTCTTTGTGGAAAATAAGATCAAGAAGCTGAGCAAAACAGGTCCCAATTTAAAAAGAGTTTTGGTTTTACAACTGCACTTAAAAGATAAAATTTGATATTAAGAATGCCAAAGGAAAGCTAAATAGTTATTTTAAACATAAAAAATCATGAAACTAAATTTAAGAAAAGATTTTGAATCTTCTAAACCTTAATGTGATAAATTTTTCTCTCTTGTATTAAAAAGTCATCGTTTAAGACAACCACATTAGCTATTTAGTTGTTTACAGCAGTGGTCTCAAATGTGCAGCCCACGAATACATTTTAATTATGTATTTATTGCAAATACGATGCTTAGAGTTTTAGACTTGTAAAAATATGGACTGAGCTTATCTATCAAACAGCTACTGAGGAGGAAAAATAAGTTGAGTTTTGTCTTTGTCACTTTTTTGGGGGAAATGATTAGGTTGAGGTTTGTCTTTGTCACTGTATGCTTGTACATCAGGTCACGTGATTTAAGTAACATGGAAGCAGCAAATTTAGTTTGCCAGCCAAGAGCTGGAGATGCTTCAGTATTTTGAAATTTTCAGTTAAAGTAAGCTATTTAGTATTTAATTCAACATATTGGAAGTACCTGAAAGAAATGTCAGTCTAAAATTTAACATTTAGCTGTCAGTAATAGTAAATGTCTGTACAATCTGCATGTGGACTTTCATTTCATTAAATTGTGTTTATCTTGAGATATGCTCATTATTAAAGAAACAAAATTTGTCATGACTAACATGCAGTACATGTTTATTATACTTCCTGAGCTAGCCTTTCTAACAAGATGCTTTACCACATTTTGTATGAAAAATCAAAACTTTACTGTGATTACGTACAGAATATTCAACACAACAGGTGATTATATACAAGAATGATAACTTAATTTGTTAGTTAATTTAGAATACATTTTCATCCACATTAAAACCTGTGGTAAAGTGGCTGAAACCGCTATGCAAACCCTGGGTTGTGACATCAGGTTGAAAGCAAAACACAGCATAATAAAATCTATTGAATGCTAAAAAAATGGCTACATACAATTCTGCAGAGAAAAACCTATCTTCTTTCAAAAATCAAATTCTACACATTTTACGTGCGAGAGCAATTCGTGGCTCTCGAGCTTGCGTTTTTAACATTGCCAACGATTTAATTATTTTAATAAAGACTATTTTAACAACTATTGAAAAAGTGTTTGTAAGTTAAAAAATAATAATTTTCAGCTTATTCTCATGAGACATCCTTGTCCATATTAATCTTCAGTCTCTTCTTTTATGTGACCTTATCACAACTCCTCCCCTCATAAAGAATTTTTCTTGACTATGGAAGGAAAAATTCTAAATACATTTCACTGCTTTCAAAACACAAGTGGTAACCATTTAAGTGATAATAGAGAAGCACTTATTTCTAGATAACATAAATGCAAAAATACAACAAAAAGATTTAAATTTTGAATCTACACAAAGTACCTTTTCAGTTTACAAAATGCTAATACTTAAACATTTGATTCTAATCATTTTGAAAATGAAACACACTATGCAAACAAATTTAAATCTACAAAAATATAATTCCAAAACGCTACAAAAATCATTTTTCAAACAACAGTTTACAGAACAAAAAGGATTGGCTCCTCCACATATTTCAAATGCTAAAGTTCCTGCTGTCCATAGATCTGATCTCGAATAATCAATCATTGAGATAGGACACTCTTCAACATTTACAACTATATTTGGATGAGGTCCCAATGTCTTTTTCCTGACTTTATGATTTGTCAGTTCATCCAAAGAAAACTCGCCAATGGCTGGTAACGTCTCCTTATACATTGCATGCCACATAGCATATGCATCTGATTCAGCATTATAATTGAACATCATTTTTACAACAAGGTTATTTGGAAGCAATTTCTCAGAAGAAAACGTCTTGATAGAAGTGGGTTTTTCGAATATCAAATTCTGCAGATCTTGTGTTCCTTCAGTATGCGATATAATAAATTTTGTTTGGTGTTGAACATTATCATGAGTTTCTGTTGCTTGTGCTTACGAGAATTCTGCTGGCGAAACATCCGCAAGGATAGCCCTTTCCTCTAAACTGATGTCTGGAATTTTAATGTTCTCTTCCGTATTACTGGTTAACTTCCTTTCTTCCGAATGCTCATTATTGACGGCCCTTTCACTTTCTATCTATTTCTTTTCTTCTGATCTGGAATCTAAGTCTTTTGCACTCGCTCTCTCTAAACTCCTCTGCGCATGCGCCTGACTACGAGTCTCCACAGCATTCAAGAGAACCGGTCGTTCCCTAATTTCCTCAATCAACTGTGCAGTTTTATTCCCTAAGAAATAGTACTCTTTATCTAACTCTACCGGAGTAACCGCTGCCTTTGTGGTGACCACACCAAAATCACCTTCAATGGTGACTTTCGCCAAAGGTAAACATTTACACTCTGTGTCCAAAGGCTGTTTCACCCATACAGTTTTCCCTAATAAGTCACTAGTATTAATCCAAGTACTATTACACAGATCTATACCAGCTCCAGTATCTCTCAGATATTCTCTCTATATCCCATTAATTACTGCTTTCTTGAAATACGGCTCAAAACATTTTCCTAAACTCTTCCTAAATTATTCACCAGATTAGTCTTATTCTTTTCCAGCGATGGACAGTTAGGTCGGATATGTCTGTCCTTTCCACATTGGTAACACCTTATTTTCCGCTGTTTCTTGAAACCTGCTTCATTGAAAACTTGCTTTTTTTTTTTTTTATGAGCCTCCACTTTTCTATGCTCCTTTGATTTAATTCTTTGATGACCACTACTTTTCTGATTATAACTACAGTTAGAATTTACATACTGCTCTCTTTCTCAAAGATTATAACGTGGATTATAATGTATCTCAAGATTATAACGTTAAAGATTATAACGTATCTCAAGATTATAACGTGGACAGTGATGTACAAAATAATCTACCCCCAACCTTGCTAAAAAACTCGATTCCATTTTCTTCAATTCGTTTTCTCCAAATCAACTTACAAAGAGCAAAAACGGCTTCTGATCATCTAGCAGAATTATTAACTCATAACCATAAAGACTTTGTTTTAATCCAAGAACCCTATTGTATCGAAGGGAAAGTAAGTAGCATTCCAACGTCTTGGAATGTCTTTCAATATTTCTCCTCAGTCGCCCTAATCAACATCCCAGAGCAAGCTATCATCAGTTTTAATCATAGCTGGCACCCAATTTCTAATTACAGCCAAAAGAGACCTAGTTACAACAATCAGTCTTAATAGTTCCAAGCTCTCAACTTCTTATTTCAAGTATTTATGCATCTCCCTC